TATCAGAAAAATTAAAATAATTTTCACAACCGCACTTACGGAAACTATGTATTGCAAGAACCTCAATGAACAAAAAATAATATTCACAGTTATCTATTGAGTAATTAAACCTTTTCTTCATGAAATAAAATCTCCATCTGTTGTTCTGATGAAATAATAATACGCAGAGAGCATTTTTGTTATAGTTTGGCATTGCTATTTTGGTTTGGTTTGGTTTATTTGATTATGGCAAAGCGCTCGAAAGCTTCGTTCAGGATTTTCTAAAGGAAACTGGCTCGTATACACGTTACACATCGGAAAAACACGAAAATGGCCATGCATCCAGCCTGTTCGCTGGATTCGAATCTCGGACCAAATTACCAGTGTTCAGCGACTTTACCGCTCGGCACCTAGTGGGCCCATTGCTGTTTCGATGAACTCGTTCAGAACGCGATATGAGTGCAAATATATTTAATGTGATTTTATTACTTAATTAACTTTTTTTAATTCTGTATTTTGATTGGAGAAGATTTAAAAACTTGTAAGTCAACGACATTATTTAGCCTTTTTTTTTTTTTTTTTTTTTTTTGTTGTTGTTGTTGTTCTTAAGCAGGAATCTAAAAATGATGGAAATTTTTTTAATCTGATTTACGACTACCATAAGCACTAATATTTTCTAAGCTCTTTTTTTTTATTTATTTCATTCTTTCTTTCTTTTTTTTTATTTATTTATTTAATTTTGTGTGTATGTGAATTTCCTGTGATACACGCTGCGTGAAACTAAGTGTCACGTTTTCGAAGCATAAAAACAGTTTTTTAATTATCATTTACAAACGTGTTTTAGCCTTTTTCAATTACTAATAGCACTTTCTTGAAAGAATTTTTTATGATTCTAGAAATGATTTTAATTTTAATATAGGATGAAGTTAACCTGTAACCGTATTCACCACTTTACGAAAAGAATAACGATCCTATAGCATTTGTATTTAAAAATATGGTATACGCTAGTAACGTCTAATTAATATAAACGAAATGTAATGAATTCACCTTAACACTCATTCTCATAAACAAATTTATAAGAAATTTATTTTTCATGTATAAATAAATATATTTTAGCGGAGCATCTTTATAGGATTTTGTTTTGTAATCTTGCTCAAATATAGGTTTGCCTTTTTATTTCTGTAAACGCACTTTCAAATTTTTTAAATTATTATCCCCATGTTACATTTACTTTTCACAGTTGAATAAATTCTACGTATCAAATTAAGGAATCTTTATGACCCTGTTACTATGCTTGCACACATCTAATGTTTTATAACAGAAAAGATGTAAGCTACATCAGTATTAAAAGGTAATTTAGCAGATAACTCTTTCCGGAATAAATGCGATTAAGAATTTGATTTGAAATTCACTATTTTCTTATCATTACCTATAGACACACGAATATTACATTTGTTACATATATGGCCGACATTACATTTGCTTAAAAATTGGAAGGTTTTTTTCTTTACTAAAACATACCGCTTTTCCATTTTATCGCAGAGAAAGTTTATTTGGTACATAGGTTTTTATGACTCTATTTAAACACCGAATAATAAAAGGAATAAGAAAATTCTATTCCTGTTAAATGACCAAATAAAAATGGGACTTTAAACGCTATCCCTGAAAGTGGAATATTGTGATGCTTAAGTAGCGATTCAAAAATGATCTTTCTTTGGCTTGGGAAAAATAAAAAGCCGAATGGTAATAAGAATGCCACCAGACGACAATCATAAAAGAGAGAATGAAATGAAATCGAGAGAAAAATCGAAATTACACTATTCAAAGTAAATGTTTGGTATTAATGTTTTCTAATGCGTTAGACATTTAGAAGAGAAAGCTTTCAGAAATAATTAACCTAATTAATAGCCGAAAATGATGCTGCAGTTGAGTATTTAATTAATGATCGTTTATTTGAAGTAATTAATTACCTCTTTAATAAATTATGAAGGTACTCTCCTAGGATGAAAATACACAGGACATTAAAAAATGGCTGCAGGTTTTGATTGCCTTACATATTGATTCTAGAGACGTATTTCTATTTACAAATTTCTTTCAATAATTCTTACAGTCTATATAATATACAGCATAGAATTTTAGGAAAAGCGCGTTAATATTGTAAGCAGGCAGGTTTTTGTGACAATGAAACCGAATTTTTTTATATATTCATAAAGCAAAAATTTCAATGCAAAACATTTATTTTATTTTATTGTGTTAAAAAACGCGTTATGTTTCTTTGCCAAGTTCGCAAAGATATGTGCAGTATGCACTGTTAAAATGCTACCTTTAGTGGAATTAATCCACAAGCGAAAAATGAAGCTTTTGTTTCGTAATCTTACCTTATTTTACTCTATATGTGCTGAAATTAAGAACGCCAAAGGCATGGAGAAGTGACCCAAGTTAGTTGATACGTTTGGAGTATCTTCCGGAATTTTGCATGTAATAATATTCTAATGTATTTTGCATGTAATAATATTATTTGTAGTTCAGAATTTTTGCGTTAATAGATCAATTTCTTCTTAAATGTAATTTTTAGAAACTTTCCTGTTCGAAAAACAAAATTTCAGAAGAAAGAAGGCACATTTCTGTATGTCTCGAATTCGAATGGAGCTGCCATCATTGATAGCTGGCTGAATGGGAGGGCCGACATTAACAGAAAGATTACGTCCTGGTCATTCTCAGAAACGACGAAGAAAGAATTTTGCACCGCGTTATTTAAAGAATTTTCACATGATTATTTTGACAGCACTGAGAGTTACACACCATAAAATACAAAGACTTGACATTTGGAATTCTCTTATCGATTTGTGCTTGCTTTGAAGTTTTCCAACGGAATCTCATAAATTTTTGGATGGAAAACCATGGAAGAGTCCGGCCTTAAAATCTGGCGAATTCTATTATTCGGAGCTTAAAGGAAGAAGTTCTTCGCTCTCTAGCTGTCACTACAAAAGTTTTGACTCATGATACAGAGAATTCACTACAGTGTGAAATATAATACCTTTGCAGAAAAGTCTGTTTCTCCTGAAGGAATTCTGTATGATAGAGTTCTGAAACTCATTTGTTTATAGAGGGCTACCGCGTAAGATCTTGAAGACATCTGAAATTTGCATACTACAGAGTGAGCAATCAAGTTAGTTTGACGATTAAGCGTAGTGGCTGCTTTAACAACGAAATATCTTTTCAGGTGAAACCCGAATTCGGACTAGAGCTTCGTATTTGGTTACAAGACAGTTTATTTTGAGAGCAGCAAAAGACCTTCTCTAAGTTCTAACCTCGCAGTCTTTAAAAAGCAGTACGCCAGCACAGTAAGGAAATCATTTTTTCCCCTCGTATTACAGCTCCCCCCCCATTGCTTCATTCCAGAACAGATAAGCAGTCAAGTATGAATTATTACTTAATTCTAGGCCCCACTAAAGAAGTATTAGGCGTGATAAACAGCACATGTGTGAATGAATTCCGAGTCTACTAAATTCATGTAGATGTACACCTGATTATTATGTAAATATTTATTTACTTGTGGAAACCTTTTAATAACATACTACCAGTCATCCCGATGTTATAATATTTAATTTTTGTTTTTTTGTTTTAATATTATAACACTTAAATACACTTTAAATATCACATTTTTGGTCTGGGAAACAACTTTTTTTTAACTATATAATACTTTATAATAGAGTTTAGGCAAAAGCATCAGCTGTAATTTTTATACATTTTTGTAAATATTTACTTGTGGAAACCTTTTAATAACATACTACCAGTCATCCCGATGTTATACTATTTAATTTTTGTTTTATATTATAAACACTTTAAATATCACATTTTTGGTCTGGGAAACAACTTTTTTTTAACTATATAATACTTTATAATAGAGTTTAGGCAAAAGCATCAGCTGTAATTTTTATACATTTGCACTACTGGTTTCGAAGGTTTGACTGCAGAAACTACTTCTTCAGCTGCAGGAGTTTAAATGATGAAAGAGAAGCCTGAAAGGAAATAATGGACGAGAAAATTCGAGAAGGTTCCATCAAAAAACGAAACATAGTTACTGGCGCCGTTATTGGGGAAAAATGAAAACAGCTATGAAATAATTTCTTTAAGTGGTAAATTCGGATCGGAATTTGGATTAAGATTTTTTGTGAAATGCCTCTAGAAAATATAGTTTGCCTATGGAAGATAAAATACGATGAACGAAAAAAAATTTTGCACCTTTGGTGTATTATAGTAAATGCATAATTAGCTTACAAAAAAGAGGCAGAACCGTGGTCCAGATATTTGTATACCGGATGCTTTGCGGTCCAATTTAGTGTCGACATTTACAGTTCCACTGAATAGGAAATATACTTTTAGATAATTACATAATGTTACTAAAACAAGAAATAAAAAAATCTGAAAGCTTTCGGATTTTATATTACGTGTAAAGGGGCTTTTTCTAACGTTTTGCGTGTTACCTTTATTTATTTAAATATCATGTTCTTTGAACCTAAGCCATAAAATTCAATTCAATAGCAACATCAAAAAATAATTTAAAAAGAGCATATCTTTAGAATTTCCGATACACAGTCTCGCAGGCTAGAGAAAAAAAACATTCTCCCCCCCCCGGTACAGTGTTGCCATTCCTTGCATTGAAATCGTTGAGTTTGTTAATCAAAAATTCTTTAATGTTTTACAAAATCTGAAATAGATTATAAACATATCCCAAATTCGGGTTTTCAGATTCCCATATTCGAGTGGAGGACTAAGTTATTCAAAATTTGATGTCTCTAGGTACCGTTGTTTTTTGACAGTGCGAGAAACATACATACATTCATGCAGATTCCTGATTATTTAATTTCTTTAAATATAATGCAGGGGCTCTAATATTTGGTGACAACAATTTAAAAAGTGCATATTGAACAAAGGAAGAAATCGAATTTTTATGGAAGATGAAGTAATCCTCAACGAAAGAAAAAGATAAAAAATTACACACTTTCAGTAATACTCACCATTAGGCACAACGCTGAATGCAGATGTCGTAACATATCGTAGGGAAGGCAACGAGTGTTTTGACCTTGGAAAATGATGCCTGTTCCTCCATTTCTGGAAGAGAAACAAAGGAATTAAGTAATGTGTGTGCCTAAAGAATGAACAAAAAATATTTGTGCAACAAAAATTTTAAAGGCACTTGTAATCTGATTCTTTATAAGTTAACAATGGAAGGGTTTCATGAAATGGTATCCTTGTAATACAAAAGGCAAACATCAGTCAAAAAATTATAATAAATGAGAAAGAGTTTACTCGTATGTACGCATTATATGTAAATTAAATAAGAATTGTTAAGATTTTAAATTCTACGAAGTTGACTTTTATATACAAACTAGCACAAAACCATTTTGATACTTTGCTCATTTTAATACAGAAATGTTGCAATTCAATAAAACGAAGTTTTCTTAGTTTAAATGAAATCTTAAACACAGAGAGACGCACACACGATTGCAAGCTTACCTTGCGGCAGAATTTTATCATTCACCATCACCTTTTCTATATTTAATGCAGACGATAGCGTATAAAATAGAAGAATTTGAAATTTAGTTGCTGAAGCATTAAATAAGAGTGCTGGCGCAATAGACAGCATCTAATAAATCATCTCCTTGAATTATTCAAAACATCTTTCTTGGAATTTATAATATTTTAAAGTTTTACCATCATAGGTTTTCCAAGCAAGCATATATGACCAGAAATTGATCAGCCTATTTTTAATTCGTTGTACAAAAAGAGAAATCCATTAGAAATGTCGTCGAAAAGAATCGGTTAAAGAATTTATTAGCTTTTAACATAGTAATAAAATTTATTCAAAGCGTAACAGAATTCTAAATGAAAGAATATTTTAGGAGATAATTTAAAGATGCCTTTTGAAGTGTAATATAATACGGATAAAGATTATTAAAATTATAAAAGACTCAGCATTTCTAAAGCAGAATATAATTAATTAATCATGCATAGTATTCACTAGTAAAATAATTATTAAAATAGCAATATAATATACTAGGCATAATGGTCTATGACAGGTTAAAAATTCTACGTCAACAAAAGAACAGAAAACTTCAATTTCTTCCTCAAAATGTACGAGAAATAAGAGTTTTGAATATTGAAATAAACAATGTTTAACGAGGAAAACTAATTTTAATGCTTTTGCTAGGTACTGACATGCAGAAGTAGTTGCGACAGTCGAAAATGGCGGAAGAAGAGAAGAAAACATTGCATGTTTTTTTTTTTTTAATAATTTAAGTATGTATAAAAATCGAAAAAAAATTGCAAGATGAATTATCTGGCATCAATCAAAGACGGGTGGCAGTAGGAAAAGATCGATTCCGAAATTCAGCTTTAAAAGTCTCATACTGGCAATTTGCCCATTTTAACTAACCAATTTTATACGAATAGATGAAAGCAGGATATTTTCCAAATACCAAAAGATATTTGTGTTACAGACTTTGGATCTAAAAAATCTAGTTACTGAGAAGCGTAAAAAGATATCACAAGATTTATGAAACAATCAATTATACACATAGAACAATCACACACACTCATAAAAAACAATCTGAAAGGTTTCAGATTAAGTCCAAAAGGGCGTTTTTTAACATTTTGTTACCTTTATTTATTAAATATCATATTCTTCGGACTTAAACCATAAAACTCAGTTCAAGAGCAATATAGCAAAATAGTTTCAAACTGTGTATAATCTTTAGGATTTCCGTTACTCGCGCACTGGATATAAAAAGATTTTCTTTCCCCCGTAGAGTGTTGCCATTGCTCGCTTTTAAATCGTTGAGTTTGTTGCTCAAACATTCGTTAAAGTTTTACAAAATATCAAATCGATAATAAAACAAATTCCAAATTTCAAATTTGGGCTTCCACATGTCCATATTCGTAGGAGGATTACGTCATTCAAATTTCGATGGCTCTAGGTACCGTTGTTTTATCACAATGCGAGAAATAGACATACATTTATCAAGATTTTCATTATTGAATTTCTTCAAATATAATGCAGGACTCTAACATTTGGTGGCAACAGTTTGAAAAGTGGAACGGTCATTTATAGTGAACCAACGCAAAATCGCAAAACAAAACAACAGTTCTTCAGGGACAAAGCCCCTTTGGACTAATAACTAAATACTTGCCTAAACATAGAAAGAGTTTATTGATTACGTAAACGTAATCTTTATTACATAATAATAGAGCATAAAACGTTTTGCTACAAAATCGTGTTCTGAAAAGAATGCGGAATTTCACATTTGCATCACGCGTTAATATACTGACAGTTTGATTTAAAGTAAGATGATAAGACTGCATGAACAAGTATCAAGTATTCTTCCAATTAGTATTATTATTTTTAATATTCCGAAGGAAACTCCGCAAGGTTATAACAATTCATTGTTCATGCTTTCCTTATTGAAGCATGAGCTTATTCCTTCACTAGTGGCCAAGCGTTAGGACTGCTGAATGCTGGTACTTCGGATGCTAAACTTTCGATGTTTTTTCAATGTATAATGTGAATACCAGCCAGCTTTCTTCGCAAAGCCCTGCACAAAGGTATTTTTCCTTAGGCACATAGCCCTCATGTGCTTTTCTATATTCAAATAATCTCACGTTACTGTAAAAAAAGTTGCTTCGGTATTAACAGTTTGTTTAAATGCAAAATACTCACTGCTGTTTAAAGTATTGGGATTATTTTACTAATGATAAAAAGAAACTAAGAATTTTTATAGCGCTATTATTCTCTAGTGTATTCAAAATTTAAAGTTAACAATCGTCTAAAAAAGAAGGTCTTTTCCTTTTCCCCTTTTAATGATTAAAAGTGAATTTCGCGAGCATATTTCACATACTAATATTAAATTAATTTTGTTTGTCATTTTCGTCAGTACAAGAGGCGGAAGTCTAAACCCAGTTTCTCGCGCTTCGCACTGGCGATTCAATTGTATTATAGACTGCATATTTTTGAAAAAATTCAAAATAAAATTCCAATTCACTGAACTAATGGGCTCATAGCCTATCACAGTTCTGACTCAGTTTCGTAATTTCTGTAACGAAAGTAAAAGAATCCTTCATCATGTTTTGTTTCAGCTAATTTGTAAAGCTAACAAATAAAATGCTGTTATTTCGGTAAAGCACAATCCATTGTAAATGGGCTAAAAATTCACTATATCTAACGCTAAATAGTTTACTTATAACAATGTCATTGTTGGATTTGATGAGTTTATAATAATCATCGTAAAGGCTTCAATAATTTAATTCCACAATAATTACGGTGCGGTCCAACCGGGAATTCGCCGCTCAGCCGGGATAGTATTTGTGACTCTACCTGTCATACCGAAGCGTCTGGATTCGAATCCCGGAAAAGGCATGGATGCTTGTAAATGTATAGTGTTCGGGCGGCATGGGGACACCTTGTGGTGTTTGTTCTCCTTCAGAATTGGACAACGAGACTAAACAAAGTCGTACTATAACCTGTATGGTGGCCAAAGCTCTTGCCAACGTTAGGCGCGAGTCTTACCTCCTTGGAACAATGACTTTTGTGAGCTTGTTCTGATACCAGACAAGCGAGATTAGTTACAGCACATAAATAGACAACGCTTTCTTCGAAATAATTATAAAAGAAAAAAACGCTCATGCGCCGGAAAGAAATTTACGATTGGATTTAGTGGTTTAGGTCAAGCAGACTAGGATCATACTAGGGGTATCTGCTTAAGGGAAGTCATGCCTTTGTGGGAGATTTTTCTAATGAAAACTGACTCACGCTCATTTCACATGTGGGAAAAACTATGAAAATGGCCATACAACCAGCCAGTTCAGCGGATCGATTTACCAATTTTATCCGTCCGGCCAGTGATGGGCTTTAAGATATCTCTGAGTTGCCAAGCATCTGTTAATAATATATTGAATACTCTTTTTAAATACAGTACAACTCTAACTAACCAGGCTGTAGGTATCGGGAATGTAAATTTTTAATTTACTACGCATTTTTAATTGTTTTCCCTAACAAAATATAAAAAGAAAATTTTACAATTATTGTACATCAGTTTATGTTTTTTACTTACATACTACTACATCTGTCATTAATGAAATGATATCCAAGATTTATTTTAATTGAATAGAAATCGAGTATTTATTTTGTTTTATCCAAATAAAAATAATTACCTTGTTTAATTCTGCAGAGAAAAACTAAAGACAAAATTTTATCTATAGTTTTAGGGCCTACTGAAATAAAAATTGTTTTTTTGTTGTAGAAACGGTGAGTGAGTAAAAACATTTTACATATCCAATGAATTAACATAAAAACGCTTTCTGCATCAGCAAATAAATTTATTATTAAATTTGCGAAGAATAGATTGTGCTTTACCGAAATAACAGCATTTTATTTGTTAGCTTTACAAATTAGCTGAAACAAAACATGATGAAGGATTCTTTTACTTTCGTTACAGAAATTACGAAACTGAGTCAGAACTGTGATAGGCTATGAGCCCATTAGTTCAGTGAATTGGAATTTTATTTTGAATTTTTTCAAAAATATGCAGTCTATAATACAATTGAATCGCCAGTGCGAACCGCGAGAAACTGGGTTTAGACTTCCGCCTCTTGTACTGACGAAAATGACAAACAAAATTAATTTAATATTAGTCCCGTTAACGATTGAATCACAATATATTCAGAAAAAAAAGTCAGACACATTTTATTTAGTTTGCATATGGTACTGAAATGATTTTCTTGTCTGTTTTGACAAAAATACTAATCTTGCTGGGAATTTTAATTTTCAAAGTACGAAGTAAATTAGATTCTCAATACAAGAAAATATTTATCATGTAGGACATCAGCATTGAAATATTATCTAAACCATAAAAATATGTACATTTTCATCGTAAAATATTTTTATGAGAAATTGTTAATAATATGAGAAAATTCTCACATTGAATCAAAATTATTTCTCTTACCTACCGACAGAGGGCGGGACCATATAAGAAAAATCAACTTCATTTGCTTATTATTGGCGCCCACAAAAGTTTGTCGGATTTTTAATTAAAGCATATTTATTTATTTAACGCTAGGGGCTGTACACATTTATTTTGAAAATACTCTGGAGTTTACATTTTGCAGCTCATCGTTATCGGTTCACATTTTCAGTCTACGTGAAAGTGGTGTTCGTCATTTAACAACAAATTAAATATTTTAAAGCCTTTTCAACCGCTTCTCACGAAGCTTTATCTCTATAGATTTTATAATAAAACGTGATTCATTTTTCTCCCGAGGAGAAAGGGAAAGGACATAATTATACCCCTAAACAATCGGAGCCTTGCCCCCGGTATTTCTCAGTTTCTGAAAGAAATATGCTCCGCCTTTTTTCTTTTATATACCTAGGGTCGGCGCTATACTTTTTGCCTCCTGGTGCAAGTTGTGTGTTTCTTGAATTTTAAAAAAAATTGCCGTCCCTAATTACTTCCGCCGGTGCGGCCGTAACGCACATAATATAAACATTTTAACAAAAAATTCTGCTATTAATTCAATATTTTATTTAGCTGCAAATAAAATTATATTGATACTAGATAACGAATGTATGTCTCATTGGCAAAAATTAGATACTCGGGAAAATTTTAAAAGTTCAGTCAAAAAATTCTTACATACCAACCCTTTAGAAGAAAAAAATTATAGGACGACATAAAAAAACAAGAAATTTATTTCTTATTTCCACCCATTCGATCAAAAAAGCCTGAGCCGTAGGCATCTGTTCAAGAAAGCTTTAAATGGATTAGAAGACAAGACACAGAAGCAACTTTATCTAAAATATATATATCTTTCTTTTATTGTCGGGTATTATGTTTTATTAATATTAATTTACTAACATTTATTTTATTAGATTTTATGATACCGTTTTTTACATTATTAAATTTACTCATTTGTTTCATCATACACTTCCTTTCTGTGTATTTTAATTTTAATATATTTATTATTAAGCTAAATTATTTTTCTAATATTTTTATTTCTTTAGGTTGTATTTAATTGTAACTAAACATTATTTATTTATTTTTTATTGTGTTATTTATTTTATTGTTGTTATTTATTATTATTATTTATTTACATCTCTTCACCGTTTCTGATGATCTTTCAAACGATTTTGGCACTTCTAAGTTTTGGAAATTAAACCCCAAGGATGGGAAGGGCGGTGAAAAAAAGTGTGCTCTGAAGTAGATGCACATGGCCACGTTCGATTTTAACACATTTTTTTAAGAGCTACGGTCTCGTGATTTCTCTTGAAACAATCACTCTTGGTAAGCACGAAGAAATTGACAATTTATTGTAATTAATCATAATTCATAAAAAAATAAATCTCTATAAATGGCTCAAAGAAAACGCAGATATTAGAGAAATTATCCTTAACACACCAGAAACATGGCAAATTCTTAATATCACCCACAAGAGTATACTACGAGCTAACTCTCTTTGAACCATCTTTCTAAGAACTGACTATAAATGGACTGAACGCTGACTGCCGAAGCCGTATTTATAAGGTGCGAACGGATTTGTAGAACCTTCGGAAGAAATTGCTTCCAGAACTTCAAAGATGCGTTTTCTCGAAATTTTCAGAAAATCGCCAAGTTGGCGATAAATTGAAAAGGTCGCTAAGGGATTAGTTAGAAAGGTTTCTGCGTTTTTCTTCCGTTTCAGTTGAACTATTTGCATAGTTTAAATGTTGTTGCATTCAGAATCACAAGGCCTACAATCCAATACAAGAAATTACCTCTCCACCGATTCAGCTACAAGGAAATACACCCTTATATCACTATGCGTAATGCAACATCTGAACAAATAAATAAATACAATAGAAAACATTACACAACATAAAAAAAACAATACAATTAAATAGACACTAATGTTTACAGAAATTTACAAAAATACAATAAAACAGACGTCACATGGCTGGGTTAAGTAACTTCTTAAATGTACAAAACTTCATTAAAAAAAAAAAAAGAAATAGAATCATTAGCTTTCTTTTGCTACTGTTTACTTGCATTCTTAAGAACCTATGCAAGAAACTAATACTATAGAGGTTTCTGGATGTCTATTAAATTTAAAAAAAAATCATCTCACTTTCATCTCACATCTCACAAAAATCATCTATGATCAGATTTATTCTTTGAAACTAATAAAATTTTGATTTTGTTTCGAAACTAAAATCAGTCGTTTGAGCATATGTAAAGGAAACTACCATGTCAAATCACGTAAACGGAAGAACAGACAATCTAAGAAAAAGAAACTGAATACTTCTGTTTCGTGTTATTTTTCTGTTTCTACTTCCACTTCCATATGATGAGCAGCGAACCATATTGATTATGCATTTACCCGAGGGATATATAGAGTACTTTAACTTCCCCGAAGAGGGAGGGGGGCAGCTTCGAAACTCCAACTTACGATTTAATTCAAAACAGTCTTATTTTTCCCGTTTGACCATTTCGGTAAACGAATAACTTTTTCGAAGACAGCACTGGCAAGAAATAATTTTTTTTCAACCTTTAGAGTATATTACTTTCACTTGGAAAATTTTTTACTCCAAGGAACACTGAAGTTGTTTCACCTTTAACTAAATTATTTTCGACTAATATATGTCATTGTAAATAGAACAATAAATATGTAAAACAGGTAAAGAATAAAGCAACGGAAATTGAATAATGCAGGAATTTGAAAGCATTGGAAAGGCAAGACAGAAAGAATTCTCGGTTTAAGTTCGACGAGATTCCGAATTCTTTCCGACTTTTTAGGCTGCAAGCGCTATTTTATTTCAATATTTCAAAGCGCATTCACTTTGATGTGACAATGTAGTTTTTCTCAACTTCAAGAAAAGGTTATTTGCCCAAACCGCTGACAAAACTACAAGGGTTGAAGAGAAAAAAGATTTATCCTTGGAATTTTTATTTCACCACATTTATACCGCTGACAATTTTATTGCATTTTTCTGTGACTAAAAGTAATACTACAGTAATAAACTTTTATTGCATTTTTCTGCTACTAAAAGTAATACTACAGTAATAAACTTTTATTGCATTTTTCTATACTAAAAGTAATACTACAGTAATAAACTTTTATTGCATTTTTCTGCTCTCCCCTACTAAAATGGAAACTAATTAATAACAGACCTTCTAATAAGATTTCAATATTTATAATTTTTTGAAAATTCCATTTGTGCGAACACACATCAGTTAATTACCAAAAAAATGACACATTCATATTCCCCGAAAAATATATTTAGTACCAGATCCTCTATTATCAAATCACTGATCTGAGTGCCAATTGAAATTCTGAATCATCCACAAATAAAAGGGAGATATACCAACGTGGAAATTAAAGACTCAAATTCGCATTTAATAACAGAAGCCCTATTATGAAAGTACTAATGTAAGTGATAACTGAAAGTCTGAATTATAAACAATTAAAAAGAAGATAAATCAACATGGAAATTAGAGATTCAAACTCGCATCTAGTACCAGAATCCCTATTATCAAAGCAATGATTTTTAAGTGATAACTGAAATTCTGAATTATCCATAATTAAAAAGGAGATATACCAACATAGAAATCAGAGATTCAAATTCGCATCTAGCACCAGAAGCCCTATTATCAAAGGGATGACCTAAGTGATAACTAAAATTCTGAATTATCCACCACTAAAAAGAAGATACACCAACGTGGAAATCAGAGATTCAAAGTCGCAAGAGTAAAGCACCACGGGCTAGGGACTTGTTCTTAATGTGAATGATTTGATTATGAAAAATGCATATGTAGAAACAATTTTTATTTTTCGAGCCCCCAGATAAGCTTCTCGTTAAGCCCAAATTCGAATCCCGGATATGGTATGAAAGTGTGTAATGCCATTACGGCATGGAAGTATTAAAATATTATGGAACCGGAAATCCTCTCGAGAAGTTACAGGACAGGAAAGAGGGGGATGCACATTTGTAAAATCAATTTTATTAGTATATTGGAATTCGGATTAACTGTAATTCTACATTATCGGAGTTAAATATGAAAGTGGTATTAGCTATAAAATTCACGAAAACTGTTCATTAAATAATGTACCCAAGCGGGCAAAAATCCAACCTCAGCTTTAAGAAAAAACTGCACCTGTCCACATTTTGAACCAATTTAGCAGCTACGGAACATTGTACAAAGAAGCGGCATAAGAAAACAAACTTTGAAGAGACATTTTTACAAACTTTCAAAGCGATAATCTATATAGTTATATAATGATGTATTTATGTTACCTTTCAAATTTCAGTTTAATTCCAGCATGTGAAGATAATCATTAATATTAAAATGTTGTAGAATTTATTTTAGCCAAACATTATTTTTATGTTAATTCTTTCCTTTACCTTCTATTTCTTCCCTCAGCGTTTGCTAAAATTCAAACTATTTTGATTTTAAATTTGCGAACAGTATTATGGTAACCATACAATACAGCGTATTAACCTGAGGAGAAAAATCTCCTACCAAGTCGAGGTGAGCATTTGATAGACGAATATTGCATTTAGCAACAATTTTGCGAAACAATTTAGCATTTAGCAACTACGGAACATTGTGGCAAAGAAGCGGCATAAGACAATAAACATTAAAGGCACACTTTTACCAAATTTCAAAGCGATGTAGTTATATTATGATTTATTTATGTTACCTTTCAAATTTCAGTTTCATTCCAGCATGTGAGGACACCCATTCATATTAAAAATGTTGTACAATTTATTTTTATTACAAACATCATTTTTATGTCAATTCTTTCCTGTAGCTTCTATTTCTTCCATCAGCGTTCGCCAGAATTCAAATTATTTTGAGTTTAAATGAGCGAACAGTATTATGGTAATCATACAATACAGCGTATTAATCTGAGAAGAAAAATATCCTACCAAGTCGTCGACGTGTGCAATGAATATTATATTTGTTAGAGTGCAGGGTAGCATTACCATTAGCAAGAGTCAAATTATTTAATTCGGCACATCTACGAGAACACTTGTCATTGGCAAATTGAGTTTTCTCTCTAACAACGAGATAACTCATTATTCATTGTCTTACCTAAATCACCCAAATAGGAGTATTGCTGTAACAAATGCATGCAGTGTTTAGGTGTTTCGAATACACGAAGGGACTAAATAATGCCCTTTGTATATTGAAATGGATCATTTATTTTCAAAAACGAAATTAATTCAATTATTAAATATTTATAACGTTTATGTTAAAAAGTTCCTTCATTTTTCATCATTAATAAAACAATTTATTATTAAATTTAAAACTATATTTTAATTGCTTTCTAAAACTATCAATTTATTGCTTGATTTTACAATATCAGCGAAACTGTGGGAATTAATATGCAACAAAGCTGGGAAAAAAATCTGAGAAAAATGAGAAAATCCTGGGCTTAAATATGGCATCAAGCGAATCAGATAAATAAAAGATAATAAAACAAACGAACAATGCGAAACTTAGTCAAAATTTAGCATGTAATTTTTTTGAATGACTGTAATTTAAACTTGGTTATTCAACACGTGTAGCTGAAATATTAGTAAATACACGAGCTTTTTATTTTGACCTCTACGAAAACGCGAAAGATGCGTCGGATATGCAGCGCCATCTATCGCAGACATCGCAGGATGATACAATATCCGAATTTTCTCCGAAGACCTCTACATCCCCAAAATCAATTATTGGAGCCATTACAGTGATATCGTTATCTAATTCTACAACATCCCACTTCTAAACACTAATAATCTTAATGAGTTAAAGTCATCAATCGTTTGCGCCAGTGAAATTTGATTTGCAAACTAAGACTGACAAATTACATCTTAGAATGTTCTTTTCTACCTAAATTGCCATTTATAGTGGAGAAACTTAACCGTGAAAAGTAATTTTAGCAAGTATGACAAATATGAAAGAGCTAGGAGGGAATACAATAAAATTTCTACATAATTTCGCGTAATTACGTGAACAAGTTTCTTAGGGTATATAGTATAAATTGAATGTTAATAAGAAAAATGATGCATGTTATAATCTGGTTAATCAAGTTATAATCTAGTAATTATTAATAATAGAGATGAAACAGTGGTTCATCTCTATTATTAATAACAAACTAGGCAGCGTTTACTGCTTTTAAACCGCCTAGTTTGTTAACGAATAACAAGACAGATTAAATATGGGGAAAAAATAAATATCTTACTCTCAACCGATAGACCACATTCTGGCGCGGGGAAGCTAAAAATATTTTACTTTGGGCAGTGAAAGCACATTTCTTTTAAATACTTGAGTTTATTGAATAAATTGAAAGATGTGTTAACCTTACGCTTATATTGCTTTTAATTCACTCAGTTTGTAAATCGATATTTCATTAAGTTTGCGCAAAACATAAAATAAATAAAAATAAAATTCGGATTTCGAGGTGCATAGTTGGTTCTAAGATGGCGGTAGATCCAAAATTGGGTGGTTCTTAGATGCCATCGTTTTTCAACAATGCAAGGAATATACATACATACAGACAAAATATTCATTATTTAGCAATAGAGATTAAATATTTTCCCATAATCAGTTTGTCAAACTACAGTTTGTCCTGCCCTCTCGATATACATATAATTCTGCTCGTGACATCAGTCACGATTTCGCGAAGTTTGATTTGTCTGTATATTTGTTCACATTGTAAAACATCAAGTTCATATTCAGCATCAGAGAATAAATTATGAATGCTATTATCCAATAATTTCATTTCACTCAACAAATCCGAAAGACGATCACAAAAACATTCTAAATCATCATTACCCACATCTTT